TGCACAAATTTTTGTGCACCGGGCCTCTAGTCTATAATAATAAAAGCATAATATGCAAATCAACTGAACAACCAAACAGCAGAACAACTGTCCAGACGACCACACTATGACATGCACTAGTGCCAGGTCAGCCAAGGCAGGTGTGATGCGATTGGTCAGAGGGGCCTGCCATTGTCCCATGATCGCCCCACAGAGGGAGGCCCACGCCACCTTCTGTGGGGTGATCGATGGGGGGGGGGGCTCCACGATCAATTACCCCAAAGAGGGAGACCCAGACCACCAGCTGGCAGGGTGATCAATCGGGGGGGGGGGGGGGGGTCCACGATCAATTACCCCAAAGAGGGAGACCCAGACCACCAGCTGGCAGGGTGATCAATCGGGGGGGGGGGGGGGGGTCCACGATCAATTACCCCAAAGAGGGAGACCCAGACCACCAGCTGGCAGGGTGATCAATTGGGGGCGGGGGGTGGGGGGGGCTCTGTGATCTCCCCAAAGAGGGAGGCCAGGCCACCCTCTGCATGGCAATCGATCACAAAACCCCAGCCAAGTGGCAGGGCCTCCCTCTGCTGGGTGATCAATCACAGATCCCGGTGATTGATTGCCCCACAGAGAGAGGCCCAGGCCACTGGCCAGCGATGCTGTGGCAGGTGTACAGGGCCGGTCAGCAATCACCCTGCAGAGGGAGGCCCAGGCCAGCCAAGCCCACAGAGGGAGGCGACCAGTGGTGGGGGAAGGGGGCGCAGTGCTGCACAAATGGCAAGCAGAGGCAGTGGTGGGGGCGGGGCCAGCTGCCGGCAGCTAGGGGGAAGGAAAGCCCCGATAAGCCCTGATCACCGGCCAGGCCTAGGGACCCTACCCAAGGGGTCCTGGATTGCAAGAGGGCGCAGGCCAAGCTGAGGGACACCCCCACCCCCCACCCCGTGCATGAATTTCGTGCACTGGGCTTCTAGTAATAGAAGTTAATAATATTGTATTGTATACTAAAAATGTGCTAAGTTGATTTTAAGTGTTCTCACCACACACAAAATGTTAACTGTGAGGTGATAAATACGTAATTAGATTGATTATGATAATCATTATACAATGTATACGTATATTAAGACATCACGTTGTATACCTTAAATATATACAATTTTTATTTGTCAATTACCCCTCAACAAAGCTGGGGAAAGGAAAAAGAGGGGAAAAGTGGTCTTTTCACACTTCCACTCCCCACTCATTTTACACCTGTCAGATGAGGGGTGATTGCCCTTCTCTAGCTCAATAAAATTTATTCCTTTTTACTGAAATAAGATGCAACTTGCAGGAACCAGGAGACAGAGTCTGTTCAAAGTGGTTTTCACACTTTTGTCCCCATCACATCGGTCCAAGTCTTGGAGAGAGAACTTCCCCACAGCTGCTGCGCTGGGCCTGAGGAAGCTCTCCACACCTGCTGAGCTCTCGCCTCTCACCGCTGCTTACTCAGTGACAGAAGATTTTCCAGGTTACTTTTCACACAGTCTGAAACCAAGCCCTCATAGGGAATGCTAAGTAATGGTCTCTAGCAAGGAAGGACAAGAGAATTATAATTCTATTATTATTTCCCTCAAGGCACAAGTTATGTTCCCGTGGTGAAATCCAGTTACAACTTCCTCTCGCTTTATTTGGAAATGAAAGATTTTTCCCTAACCCCTTAAAAAAAGCTGTAAGCAATATTCCTGAACAAGGGATCCTGAGTAAAGAATTTGTAGACTTAATTTATCCTACCTCAGTGCCACCTAAAAATGCTGCAAAATTACAATGGTTAAATATTTATTACTTTAGAATAATGTCAGCTATTCCCACAAAAAAAGAAACATCATGATACGGTCGTGCCTGGGCCCTCAGGCACATTTGGGATATTCTTGGATAATCTTATAATATGACCTGTCACCAGTGGAGTGTCAACCTTTCTGGCACAAGTAGGAGTTAGAGGCTGGGGTAGAAAAGTGGACTTGCCATTAGATCTGGATGGGGCACAGCTCCATGGGCATCATAGGCCTCGGCATGCTTTCTGTGTGTGGGAAGATGTGCTGGATGAAACACAGGTGATCTGGTACTGTAGCCACCTTAATAAATGACTAGACCCAACCACCTAGATATATAACAAAGCCAAAACAAAACAAAGCCCTCAGCCATAGCCAGTTTTGCTCAGTGGATAGAGTGTTGGCCTTTTTACTTAAATGGTCAAGGGTTCAATTCTGGTCAAGGGCATGTACCTGAGTTGCAGGCTCTGTCCCTGACCCCTGTCAGGGCACATGCCGGAGGCAACCAATTGAAGTGTCTCTCTCACATTGATGTTTCTCTGTCCTTCTCTTACACTCCCCTCCCCCTGCCCCTGGTCCATTCTCTCTAAAAAAATCAATGGGAAAAATATCCTCAGGTGAGGATTAACAAAAACAAAAACCCTCATTTCATTACTAATAATGTTGCATAGTTTTGGTCATCTGTGTGTAAAGTCATCTTCAGAGATTTAACCCATAAATAGTTTTAAATCACTGTAAGTAAGCAGCAATGATGTTGGAGATTTATTTCCCATCATGAGAAATATTTGTGGGTTACTTAGTGCAAAATAACAGACGGATAAAATGATGTATCTCTACTAGGCATTTCCAAAGTGCAACACATCATCACATACTCTAACTGAAGAAATAGACATTTGCCTGAAACTTGCAACACAAATGCCATTTTTCTAAATTTGATAACGGTTTTTATCTTGGTGCATGGGGTGGGAGAATGGGGAGTGGCTTAGAACCTTTACTTTCTATGCTCTATAGTTCTGTAATGTTTAATGTTTTCATAAGGACCATGTATCACTTTTACAATTAAGCAATTATAGTAAAAATAATTTTATAAATAATAAGTTCAATAAAATTTTTAAATATACATATATTGTTCTGCATCAGCAATTTTCAACAGGTGCCACAAGAATTTTTAAAACATGCAATACCTGACTATTAAGTCAGGGGAACTGACCTCTTTTCCCTTAGATTACCAAATTTTAAAAAATGACAACAGCCAATACAACAATAGCTGTCAACAATTATACCTATTTTTTTGTAAGATCAGCAAAAAATATATTTTTTTTTGGTGTGCCACAGAATTTTGGTAATTAGCTATGTATTCCATGAGATGAAAAAGGTTGAAGATAGCTGCTCTACATTACTGATGCTGAACCAACCCTTATTTCAAAACAAGACAGGGAATTGTTTTTAAAAAGAAACCAATTTTGATCAACTCAGTGCCTGTCCCTATAGGGGAAACAAGGTGGTATGATTAGCTTGCTCCAAAAATGCTTTCTTCTTAAAAATTCCATTGGCTTTCTCATTCTATGACCCACTGCTTAATGAGCCAATTTAGTTGGCCTTTCCCCAAGGTTCACTCACAACTCTTCCTAAATAATCTCAAAGTCCTTTTGCTGGAGCAGGTGTTATTTTCCAAGCAGCTCTCACCAAAGGCCAATATGATAATTAATAACCTTCAGATTCGAAGACTTTAGGCCCTAAAGTTTAGGGTCTCATTTCTGACAAAGCGTACATATGCCACATGCACAGTAATGTTTCTGAACCTTGCTGTTTTATGAGGAGATTTAGACACCATAATAAAAGAACTCAGCAAAGTTTTAAATAGTCAGTTCTTTTTCTCTGCTAGTAAGAACAAGCCTTGAGGGCTTAGAGATAGTCACTTCTTGCAGCCAAATGGTCTGTTTTCTGTGAAACTGTAAAGTTGTATTTTCAGGGTCCTCTCTTTCATTTCAGATCCTTCACATGTTACCAGGTAGCTGAAGTCAGCTACACTGGTAAGTCAGCTATACAAGGCAGATTGGTAGTTCAACCTGCAAATTTAGTATTGAAACTGACTCTTAAATCTGCAGTGTTCAAGACTTGGAAAGGAATGGCATTCCATAATAGCAAATGCAGACAATATGAGTTCTCAATGTTCTCCAGGTTTAGTTTGGTTTGGAGAAGAGATGTTCTTCAATTGTCTAAATTTAACAAATAGACGTTTTAGATGAAGTGCCTAAATGTTCAGAAATATGCTCCGAGCTTCTTGCTCTGGTTTGCTCCACAATACCTCTAACATGTCTGCTTTGATATTTTAGGAATTTGTGATGATTGTCGTCTTTGGTTTGGAGTTCATCATTCGAATCTGGTCTGCAGGTTGCTGTTGTCGGTACAGAGGATGGCAAGGAAGACTGAGGTTTGCCCGAAAGCCCTTCTGTGTTATAGGTAAATATCAAAGTCCAGATACCTGGACTTCTGCATCCTTTTCTTCTGTCTACTGCATTGCAACATTTAATTTATATTAAAATTAATATTTGTGGAGTATTTATCATGTCAGGCATGCTTGTGTTTTTCAAAGTGTTGACTCATTTAATCCTCACCACAACACTGTGTGGTAGGTATTTTTATTATCCCCATTTTACAGATGAAGAAACTGAGGCAAAGAAAAGTGAAATAAGTTACTAAAATTCATATCAGTAGTAAGTGGTGGAGCTGGGATTTGAGCCAGAAGGTCTGGCTCTAGAACACCCACCTGTATCAATTACGTTACATTGAACTATATGGTTCTTAGTGTTGACCTGAATTAGGGAAGCATTAATTTCAACAAATATAAATAAAACCCTTTTCTCCCCTATAATATAAGCAATATCCCTTTTTGCTTCTAATTAACTGGAATGGATAGAAGTGTATTAGACTTGGTAATGCATGTCAATTAGTGTGCCTCAAGTTTGTTTTACTTTATGCACTGGTAACTTCAGACAGGATTAAGTGTTTTATACTCTGAAATATGAGTCACCCTCCCTGCAGTCCCTAAGTAAGAATCACATCTCTGCCACCCCGCTAAATGCTGTGGTTTTCAGAGGGATTCCATTCACCTAGGTACCAATTTCAAATTATACTTATTAATGAAGACGTCATATAGCATTCTGGGGTTAAAATCTGGGATCTTCCAGTAATATATTTAAAAGTATATCATAAAATTGGAAACTCTAGTAAATTATATCTCAAAAAATAATTTAAAAAACGAGTAAATTGCCTACATCCAAGTCCTTTTTCCCTAAATATTGCAATGTAGATTTCCTAAGGATAAAGATATTCCTTTATATAACCTTCAGTAAATTTAACATTGATGCAACACTTTATCTAATCTCCTGGTTGTATTCCAGTTTTGTCAGCTGATCCAATAATGTCCTCTACAGCATTTTTTCCTCCTCAGTACATGATCCAGTCTGCATTTAGATCACATACTGCATTTAGTTGCCATGTCTCTTTAGTCTCCTTTAATCTAGAACAATTCCTCAGACTTTCTTTGCTGCATGACATTGACATTTTAGAAGAACATAGCTTCAGCCCCACCCCCTTTTTAAAAAATAGAATGTTCTTCCTTTTGAGCGGAAAAACCCTACATATTTAAGCTATATTGTTATGGTTGTTGTTGTTGTTATTTAACAGCTAAATCTGGTTTTCTTGCTCTTTCTGCCTTCTCACTTCTTTGGCAGCCATTCAAATCCAAATACTGAAAGTTCTTGGGGAGGCTTACTTATTATTTCAACCATTTCCACTCTCAGAAAGTGGATTTTTAATCTACAAAGTGATTTAGACTATCTTCTTCATCCACAACGGGTTTCCATTTTGTTTAGAAGTCAGGAATTGTTGAGCAATCTTCTTAGTGTCCTCCTTTACCCCTGTTCCCTGAGGCAGGGGCAGAGTGAATGTAAGGAGGCACTGGAGGAGGTCTCCCCATCCACGGGCCCTGTTAAGAACCACCTTTCATTCCACCCTTGTTGCGAAGGAAGAGCACTGTCGTGGCGATGGAAGAATGGGCGGGCTCCCCACACTCTGCCACTGAGGCACTTTCATAGTATACACACTTCAGAAGAGTCACCATTTATTCAGTCAAACTTTATAGAAATTTGGCGGTGTGTGACGCACTGGAGTGACAATAGTGAAATTCTAAATCAACACAGTCTTAAAATGCCTTTTTTAGCCTCTGCTAATGAATTTTTATTTGTCCAACTGCCTCTCTTCTGCAAGAATGGGCTTTTCTCCTCTTTGGAAACCACTGCTCAGGTAAAGAGGAAAATAGGTAGGAACTCCCAGCCTTGCAGGCCTGTCCAGCCCCAAAACATATTACTGAAGGCTTTTGATTTTTCTCCCTGGAGATTTTTTTCTCTTTTGGAATTCTCTGCTCAAGCAACATCACAGAAGACTGTAACTTGATGTGAAACTATTGCACGAGTACTTTCTGTCCTTTAAAGGACCAAACAAAACAATTTACAAGGCAAATGGTTAGCCAAGACTCACTCAGCTTCTACAGGATAAGATTGGTTCATGGATGGCTGCAGGAATGTTCCACTCCAGACTTTAAAACCAATTACAAATTAGTTTTGTTCCAGTTCCAGAGGCAATGCCAATGTATTTCCGGCCCCCAAGCTGAAAAGGAAGTTCTTTCCCAGATGCCTGCTGCCTTTTGCTAGCTGTTTTCAACTCTGGATGCATCAGCCCCTCTTAGTGCTTTAATCTTTCTCTCCCTGTATCAGATCCTTGAGGTTTGGATGTGGCACATGGTTCTAAAAATGATGTTATGTTATATGTAATTTTAGACACCTTTGACCCTGTCAATAGTGACCTTAAAAATTTAGTATAACATGGCTTAGGCATAGTTTCAAGTTTAGTTAACTCTTTAAGCCTTTTCTTCATTTGGGTATTTTTGTAAATTAATCACTTTGGAAGAAAATTTCATGGCTAAGTATATAATGAATCCCTATTAGAACAAAGACAATATTTATACTTACATTTAGGGTAACTATGCATTTTTCAGTCTTTTATTTAAAATGCATATAACAGTTTGATCCATGGCCCAGCTGAATTGAGGTAATAGTGAAACATGTTCAAATGTGGCTCGTTAGTATGAGGTCAATACAATTTAACTTACACAGAGGAACCAAATGTCACCGGCCTGAATGCAGCAGGCTGTACCAGATGACAAAACCCCTTCTGGGCCTGTTTAATAGGTCCATAAAAATGATTGATGTCACTGGTAAAATGATAAAGTATAATGTAAACTGAACCTTATAGTTCCCGTGTTCAACATAATTTACTGTGATGAAATGGAACAAGGAGTAATATCTCTCTCATCTGTCCATGGTAACTGCTCTGAGTTTGAAAATGAAGCTAAAATTTCTCAGGTCTCCATGTGTTTGTATGACTTGATTACTCTGAACATGCCAAATACACACCCAAATGTTTTTAGAAGTCTTAAGCATTCAAGAAAAAGATATAGATAAGATTGTGATAAGTTGGCTGTACCTTCAATGTGAAAAATGCTTTCTGTAAGCACACCAATATTATTCTTTCCGATTGGAAAGAGATGAAAACTACTTGAGTGGGCATCTAGTAACCTTTCTATAGTATTGAGCCCTATAGACTAAATGATAGTATTTGGACACAATTTGATAGAAGTCGCACAGACTAATTCCCAAAGACTTTAGAACTCCCCCCTCCTGAACTGCCCAACCTCTTACCCCTACACTCTAACCAGAACCAGGAGCATTTAAAAAACTTATTGATTTAAGACATCAGAAAATCATTGTATACTTGTGTGTTGGGAAAACATTTTAAACAACAGTTGCTTACCTAGGGGAAGAGAAAAGTCTATTAATTTTTTTATTAGGTGCTGTCTTTCATTACTGTAATTATCTCTGCTTGGTTTGGGGAGTTTCCTTTGAAAACTGGTAAAATTTCTTTTTTATTACAAAATTATTCCTTATGCCTATATATTTAATTTACATCTCTCCTCAAAGACTCTGTTGAAATAACATTTCTACAACTATGGGCAATAATCGTTACCTTACCAATTTGTAGGGTCAAGTATATTTTAGGATGACAATCCAGGTTGCCCTTTACAATATTTCTACATTCAAGCACAAATCACTCATTCAATGACCTCAATATTGAGAATGTGTGAAATAACTTCAAAGACTGACTTTGTAGTCATTCTTTTTTCAAGCTTTTATTAATGACCTACCTGAAAATTGCAAATAGTACCAAAGGCTGGTACTTAGATCAGGATAATGAGCCTGATGTGTCAGGAAGCCAACAAATTACTTCCAACAGTGGCTTGTTTGGATTCCCTGGTGATTTTAAAGACAGGTATAATAGGGCCATATTTTTCAGTCTTGCAATGCATCTTAAGGAAACAGAAAATACCAGCCTGTTATTAATCTTGGATCTGTACTTGATGCTAAATTTAAGTTGATTTCTTAATGCAGTTTTAACAGTTTTCCTTCAGTGTAATATTTCCACAAGAGGACAAAGGAGACAAATCACAGCACAGATCTTTCCCCCATGAATTGAGCACATGTGCCTTTGACATGAGATAACGGTCTCTCAGGAAAATGCCAACAAGTGACTTTTTTAATAAGAAAAAAATAACCAGCCTCTTACTTGGCTAAAACAAAATAGAAGCCTTTATTAAAATCAACCACACAGCCCAGGCCACTCTAATATATCTGCGAGTTCATCCTATTAAAAGGCAACTTCAGCTGCTAATGTGTTCAAAAGTTAAATCAGAGATTCCCAGAACTGCCACTGCCCTCTCAACTGAAGATTTGAGACATGATTCTTCATCACCATCAACAGGCATTCAGTATTTTTTTGTCTTTGTTTTTTGCTTCTCTGCCTTCTCCATCTTCAGTTCTATGAAACATTGAATTTTGTTCTAAGCCTTTGAATTGCATCATTTCATATACCTTCTAATCTTTTCTCTCTTTTGGTAGAAATTATATTCTCTCTTATTTCCTATCTTCTTCTGTTTCTCTTTACTTGTAAGTCTTCAAACTACTTCACATATAGATTTATTCCATATGATTCATTGGACCATCTGAGGACAATTAAACCCTGTTGGATTGATTTATCACAAAAAGCCATTAAAGTCTTTTCAATCCCTTTAGTTATTGATAGCTGATATTTATTAAGACCTGTTCTATGCTAGGTACTGCTCTGAGCACTCTATAAATATTATATCCCATTTTGTATGAGGAAGTAAGACAGGGTTTAAGAGACTTGCCCACAGAAAGATGGAAGGTGAAAGAAACAAGATTCGCTGTTTTTGATTTCACTCTAGAAAAATATACTTACCTAATGTGCTGTTTTTACTCACAACACCAAATCTGAAGCTTTTTTTTCTCATACCAGCCAATCCTCCAACTCTCAAGACACCAACT